GCATTTCTGCATTATTATCACACAGACATTTAAATTCAGTTCAATGTCAAGGAATAATTTGATAATATGCATGTCCAAATACATGGACTCCAGTGTTTGACACTAAAAATTCAAATACTAATGCAAACAATTGTGTTAATAGAGTCAATAAGGGACATTTTGAAGTATGTGCACTGCATTTTTAAATCTAAAAATTCACTGCCCAATTTCTCAATATTCATACTGTACAACAGCACATATATCAAGACAAATATGCAATTTTATTACATCTATAGCTCATTTTAAGCCAAATATAGTAAAACTTCCCTTTTTTGTTACATTGCATCATCATATACCTTCAGCACTTCTGTCTCCCACGTATCTATATATGTAAATTTCATCTGACCTTATTGTACATTGCATCAGCATGCAGTTTTCTCTTTATTTCCTGAAACTTTAGTATTTTTTCTCTCCAATGATCAATAAATGTCAATAAATGTCATGCAAAAGATTTGGCAACAGATTTTTTTTTTTGGGGGGGGGGTTACATTTTCTGTTAAGTAATACATCACTTTTCATGCGGAGGACGTATGACAAAATGAAACAGTTATTAAAATGTGAAATATGCCACACAATTTTCCTTTTTTTTTCTATACACTCTTTCTGCCTTATTACTCAAAGATTTCTCTCCAATTCTCTCACAACAAATGCCGTCCTTAAATACGATCCAACTGTAATAACTGAGGAAGCATTGCATCAGAAACACACAAACCTTTTCATCTGAATCATCAGTTTATACACATGATTTGTATTGATCTCTCTAACCACACATTATACATGGTACAAACACTTTGAGGAGGGGGGGGGGGGGGGGAGGGGCTCAAACAAACCATCCACTTGGATATCTATCAAGTCCTGAACTAATTTTATTAAACAGTCCATTTTTTTTCTAAAAGAAATACCACAATCCAATAACTGACCACAGATCTGTTTCACACATGATCTCAGTGACAGACACTGTGTAATACAATGATCATGAAAATTTCATACTGGAATATTTTATCACCCTGACTATCTCCAAACCAACAATTAATCTGCCTGATACTAAATAAATATTACCATATTTTAAGTACAGGCACATGTGAAAAAAAATGGGTATTCAAAGAAGGAACTGCATACGTACAGTAAGACAAAAGACAAAAACTGAAAAGAGAACTGAAATTTGGGAATAACTATTTTTAAAAACTGTCTCCTACACTGCAGTGCCACAAGGATAATTCTGTCATAAACTACCCTCTACCAGGGCAAGAGATTGATTCTTCACAGATATGTCTCTAGATAAATAGACGGTCATTTTCCGTTTTACCCTAAAAGTATATAATCTGCCACCCTGGTAGATGGTAGCCATAAACCCTTTTTAAAATACTCTACTGCCAGATGTCACTGCGTACACACAGCAGTACAAAACATTTGACTAAGCTTGAAACACCCTGTGTTTCCTGTTGTCAAGATCCACCAAAAGATAAAGTTATAGAAAAAAAAACCTGCTCTGCTGAGTTCCTCTCGCTCCCAGTAAGACCCCATTCCCACAGATTTTAGATTGATCTATCCCTTTGGGGAGTCTCACTAGATTACTGTCAGCTTAGCGGGCTAAAGCGTCTGTCGCGCCTAAATATCTGTGGGAATCGTCCCTTATTTTCAAAGAAACTATGAAACTCAGGATGAAGATATCAGGAAAGGGAGCGGTGCTTGAAGCTAAATGCAATTAGGTTATTATTTTCCTTGACATTTTTTCTTGACTCTTTTAAAGACAGACAATACATTTGCAATGTTATCCCAGCCCACCTGAGGTTCTTTTCAGTGCACATGAACTGTTTTAACGGTTAATAACCTCTCTTTCATGCTGCTTAGTATTTCCGATAGCAAGTACATCATCTCCTCTATAATTATTTCTGCACTGAATACATCCCAACTCTCTACAAGGTTTATAATGTACATAATGGGCACTGAAAAGGTGGCTACACAGAAACAGATTGAAACAGATCAGACCTACAGGGATGCTGGTGTAGAAGTCTTTTCGTCAGTGTCACTTTTCTCTCAAATGGGTTTGCAAACATCAGTAAAGATATTAACACTTGACTGAGTTATTACCTCCGCAAGGGAGGTAAATTTGTTAGTTAACAGCTTTACTCATAAAGCAGTGGATTGTTGTACTGGAATAACGAGCATCATTTTTGTTAAAATTTTGTTCATCAAGCATTGGATTTATGATTCATAAAATAAGAAAGTGAAATCTTCCTGAGAGGCTACAGTAAGTTCAAGTGCACAAATATCAAATAAATGGCACTGATAAAGTCAAAATTTTTTCAAAAAATCAACCCAGCTAAAAAAAGTGAAGTATTTAATACTTTTGTATTACTTTAGTAATTTTCTAATTTTATGTTAAAACGGCCTATCAAGTTGTCTTAACAATGATACCTAACTTTTAAATAAAGTGTGGTTCAATAATTACCCTAGAGTTCCCAAAATCTGATGAAATACCTCAATGCAGCTTATCAATATAAAGGCAGACCCCTGAATGCCCAGGTAACATGATATAAGGTTATCTCCACTACAAGGGCAGGGGTTTGAGAGACAGCACCCAAACTGATAAAATAACCCAAACGGAACAGTACGTCTGCTTTATCAAGATAAAAGCAAAAGTAACCTCTGGGGTTGGTTTCATCAAATAGCCTACAACTGAAAGCCAGTCTCAGTTCTGAGATATAAAATGTGGCTCTTTTTAGTTCAGGATTATTCGAAATAAGTCAACTAAAATGAAGTTACTATTTGTCTTATTAAACATAGGCCATTTTTCCTTTAAAAACAGTCCCAATATTTCATAAAAGTTAAATATCACTGGTTGGACAAGCCTGGAACAACTATTCTTGGTGGTAGATTTGATCAGCCATGTACAATTATTGGTCAATAATGGCAAAATTAAAAATATATCTTTTTGAACTGCAGGCAAAGTGAAGAATCAATAATCAATATTATAACTACTGTTACAGTAGAGCACAAACATCCATCTAGGATCAAACAAGACATTGCCAAGTAATTTTGATCTAAAAATAAAAACCAACTCTCAGTCTTTGGGTCTTCTGTGGAACCAGATCCTGTAAAGGTGATTAAAATAATAGTATTTTAAGGTTATCAGGAACCCAAAGAAAACTTGTCTGTGCATACAATAGGTTATCAGTGCATGTTTCATGTGAAAGCACAGCTCCATCTTGATAAGGAGAAAGGGTTTTTTCAAAAAGGATAGAGTGATTTTAATCAACTGAAGTTGAATAATTATGCAAAAGAAAAAAGAAAAAATCTGAACTTCTGTCTCGAATCTATCACAATCAGTGGGTGTGTAAAAGGTAATACATGGTAAAAAGGTATTACATTAATAATTATTTCCTCTACAGGGGCGGATTCAGAGATATATTCTGACATCTTCCAAATTATCTTTGTTGATCGGTTCTTCACTTTTGACTGTCTTCCGACAGAAAAAACTAGATAACCTTCAATGTAAAAAAACTTGAAAATCTGACCGTCTTCCGGAAGACCCAGAAGACGCCCTAAATCCACCCCTGCTCTATGATCAAAAAAGTTCCTAAAGACTTACTTTGTACTAAGTCCCAAATTTCTGAAATGGGTTGCTTTAAAGTGCTTCCAATAAAAAGGGAAGACAATAGGCCATTATGTTTTTAACAAATGCCTTTCAATTGACCTGGGTACATCTAAAATAACCCCATCTTCATTCAGTTTCTGTTTTTTTTTTTTTTTTTTTTTTTCAAGCCTGACTTTCCTATCCTACAAATATTTCAAATTCCATTTTCCAGTCTGGCTTTCTATATATCTGATGTGGGGAAAATAGAGTTGTTCAACATTTTTTCATGAGCTAAATTCAAGCTATTAGTAAGTAATTCTTTTTAACCTGTATAATGTTGTTTTAATAGGCAGGTACAGACCACAAGGCACTATGATATCCCACAAGTGCAGCACTAACTTACTGCACTTCCTTCTCATTAAGAACTTCTACATTCTGTGGTAAATACCAGTAGCTTTTGGAACACCTGCCCCCAACCCCCCACCCCCCCTCACACACACACACACACACACACACACACACACACTTCTCTGCTTCCGGCTCCAACACACAGAAAAAACTCATAGAACCTTTTTCCTTCATACACATCCCACATCCAGTCAAGCCAACATATTACCTCAAGTTTCCTTGTTATGCTTTATCTACATCTAGAACATGATTCTCCGATACAAAACCATCAGATTCTATATATAACAATTAATGGTACACTTAAGAGACATTCATTGTGAGTACCAAGATAAATGTTTGCCACAAAGATGTACAATTTTACAACTGTCTGGTATGTTTATGGTTATAGAACAACAATGGTATGTATGAGTGACATATACAAATTATATACCAGTAAGCTGACAATTTTTCAAATTTAGTCGCCAGTGGTCATGCTGCCTCATCAGGTGGCCACCATGCAGGTGGGGAACAATGTCTGGAGGATGTAGTTGTAGAAAAACAAAACTACATGCATGACTGTCAGGTACATATTATACCAGTAGAATGATTTTTTTTTCAAATTAGAGTTAAGACAGAATAATCACTGAAGTGTGAATATATCTACAAACTCTAATGTCTGATGGATTAAAAATGAGTCTTGACATCTAATTTCAATTTTTCAAAATTATCCACAACTAAAATTTTAAGAAAATTCCACTCTCTATTTGATAGTGCTGTGGGTGCATAAAAGTAGTGGTTGTAGTGGTGTAGAGTACAATAATTGTCCAAAATTGCACACATATAAATATGCACAAGCACACACACGACATCCCACATGCACACACACACACACACACACACTTTGCTTTGTAGATAAATATGTAGAGCCAGTCTGCCAGTACTTCCTTATACACATGGCTGCCAGTACTTCCTTATACACATGGCTGCCAGTACTTACTTATACACATGGCTGCCAGTAGCCGCACAGCCACATCCGGTGGCACACATGTGGGAAAGAAAGGCTGGAGAATGTAGTTGGCGAAGGTAAGAGCTACAATAGCCTGAGCAGTTGGACGAATGATGATGAGATTTACCTGAAAAAGATTTGGTTTAAAAATACATTTTGTAATACAATTAGATTTAACTGAAAAGGACTTTAAATATATAAAATGCTTTTTTGTCCCACTTGTCCCCCTTAAAATGTCAGTGTATGGTCCCACTGTTGTGAGAAGTAACTCGGCAGTGGGACTGAACATGGCACAATATTTATATCTGTGTAAGTTATTTACTTATCTGTCTTATGTAATTGTCATTAGTCGTAATTATCCATGTCATCAAACTGGCTTTAAACAGCTATGTAACCTTGGTTTTAAGTTTAAACATATTCTTTTTGTGTAACATGTTTATAGTATGTTTATGGTAAATTTAAAATCACACCAAGGTTTATCGCATTGCTTAGATAGAATATTTTATGAGTAATTTTACTGATACGTATGTCCATTATATAAAGATGGTAATGCACTAACTGTATTGTATCGTCATTAGTATATCATATTGTACAAGGTCATGACAATCTATGTACCAGTACAGAAATAAATTGAATTGAAATTGAATTGAATATAATTTAATTTTTAGCAAGATGAGATGACCAGATACATTTTTTTTATAAATATTGACAATTACAGATGAAATTCATCAAAAAAGAGGTTAAAATGATATAAATGCACTGGATTCAACTAATTTCCTGTAAAACTTCCAAAACATGGAATGTATTTTGTAGCATCTGCAGTGCAAGCAATTATCTTGTCGTGCGTTCCACAGAAACAATCCATTGGCGCTCTTGAATTTACATGTAAATTCCCATATTCCTATAAATCAAAAATAAACTTTACAAAAAAACTTTACAAATCAAAAAGCAATAGCTTATGCTGGTGGATGTATGATGACAGAGTGAAGTTTATACATATTCACCCTGAAGTTTCTTTGACGGCATTTACAGCAGAGTTGATCTGCAGACTAACAGATCCACCGTCAGCCATATTTGATCTGCAGATCTGCGAATCAACTCTGTTGTGAATGCGGCTTTAACTGAGAATAAAGGAATAATGCCAGGGACATATTCCATACCAACAAAGAACTTCAGACTGAAAGTTGGTCTAAACTTTAATAGTAAAATCCAGTAGACTTTGACCAGATAAATCAGTCGTAGTCTAAATAAATGAAATATGTACTACACCAGTTTTATAATGAAACAAATAGCTCCTATACTTTTTTGAACTAATGGTAAATCTAATGGACTACAAATTTATTCTGAATTGAAGCAGACCAAAATTTGGGGCTTACAGCTAAGACCAATTTTCAGTCTAAAATAATTTTGTAAAAACCAGACCCGCACCTAAAATGCACTGCTATTACTGGCAAATTGATCCTCCCACATAGTAAGTGTCTTCTCTTTACTTCTAATACAGCCCATAGCTGATAGGATATGGTGCTGTGATTAATGTATTGATTGGCATAGAATCAAGGCAAATTACTGGGGACAGGCAAAATATACAGACTAGTTAAAACAGGCTGTTACACTGCTGTCAGTGGGCTGGGACTGGTGTCACAAAGGAACTTGGACCTAAAGATTGTCTTAACTCTTATACATGTACCCAGTTGACCTAGAACTTTGAGTTAACCTAATTTTAAGCCTCAAGTCCTAATTTTGAATCATGCCTCATGTTGTTAAGTAAAATGAGGATGTTCTCATGACAATGTGAATCAATACAAAACTGTATTATAGATCTGGACTCAATTAACAACCCATCTTCCAAAATCATCATTCTTTGAATTAAACTAAATATTGATCTTTTTCTTCATTTCAAAAAAAGAAAAATGACAATGACAGTAGATACATTTACCTATCTTCTTCATTGAATTTTATATTTCAACTGAGCTTTAATGTAAATATCAAATGTAATCTCAGTTTTCATTCCAAAATTTTCATCAACTTCCTGGTATAAACCTACTCTGGATTCAAAATTCAAGGAAAATCTAATAATAACACTATGATTTTTCCTGCATCAACCTCAAACTGTATCAAAGCATTCATTTACCCATAATTGCAAGAAAGCACAGAGTGGTCCAAAAGTCTCAAAAATATATGCATAATCTCCTCCAGAGCGGCTTATGGTTGTACCCAGTTCAGCATAACACAAAGCTCCGACCAGGGAGAGAAATCCACACGCCGTCCAGATTATCAGGGACAGACCAACCTGAAAAAGACCCAAGAAAAACATCAAACATCTCTGTTTATCAGAGGCGGGGATAGAGGCTTACTTTGAAATAATGAGTCATGATCTTGACATTTTATACATGGTAACATGATAATTAAAAGTAGCATCATGTGTTAAAAGCTACTGATTAATCTTCATTCTAAAGCTACTGATCATACCTCTGCAACTTCGATCTAGGATTTAAATGCTTTGCTTTAGGTAGTTGTTGGTTAAAACTTATTTTTGCGTGTTTTATTGACAAATATTAGAACTTAATTTTATTGCTGAAAATTTTCCAGTTTCACAGAAGACTACATTAAAGATGACTGGCAGTGGTGATAGTGTTGGGACCAGGGTGGGGGGCTTGGGTTGGGGTGGGGGTGTCAGAGGGGGCCATGGTGTTTACCCTTTAACCCACTGTGCCCTCTATCAAACCCATAACTCCCCTCCATCCTTGACTTATACATTTTCCACTGAATAGGTATTCAACAAAATTTATCTTTATTTTCTAAGTATGAAACAGGCCTCATGCACTATATCTCCTGTTACCTCAATCAGCCTGTAACTAATTTAACCATTGCAAACACCAGTTTCTTATTCCAAAACTAAACGACAGCAGGAAGTAGAACAGACAGGTGATAGTATAACAGATCATATAGTAATTGTTCTGTGTACTACATTCTTCCAGGTAACCAGCCCATCCTGCAGGTGTTGAGAGCAATGATCTACAGGTGTGTTATTACCAGGGGAGTACTCCACCACATTACACAGTTCTGGCCACCTACTACACCTAGGTTTGCTCACCATGATTCCATGTACATAACAACAGACAAACAAACCAATAAACAAACAAACAAAAACATCAAAACAAAAGAACAAAACATAAAACAAATCAATGAAAAATTATTAAATAAATAAACAAAAATCTGAAACAAAAGAACAAAAGAATTCTTTATTTCAAATCCTTTCTGTATATAACAGGACTTGAAAGTGATAAATTTTTCAAATCATCATTCAAAAACCAAAGAAGGGAACAAAAGTAAAATAATGCGAGGGAATTAATATACTGTAGATGCAGGTAATCAAAAATGCTGGGCTGTTGCGATGCTGGTGATATCACAATTTTGCTATGGAGAATAATGATGTGGATAGAAAAGAAATGACCCCATATGTTCAGATACATATCATCTAAAATGTATCATCCTCCCTTCCTGGGACTGAAACAATTTGTTATTGTTTGTACCCTGCTGGGCGATAACACACACACACACACACACACACACACACACACACACTTCCAGGTAACATGCTCTTTACTTTTGACATGTGGGAATAATTATAACCATATAAATTTATGTAAATATTCCCTGACCATATAGTTAGATATAGGCAGATCAGACAGCCACAGTTAAATCTAATTTCAATTTCACTCCGAATTTCAGAGGTTAATGGACGCTCCTCTGCCATTTCCACTTACGTCAAAGGCGCCCCCCTAACGAAGTCTAAACGAAACCATCCTGTGCCCCACTGAGCAGAGTGTAAATTGTGGTGTAATGGTCATTAATTTACATGTTAAACTGCAGACCTAGATATAAGTAAAACCTAAAACTCAGGATAGTAAAAGACCCCAGTTTTGACAAGTTGAAACCATTCTTAACCATACCATGCCCATACAATCTGAAAAGGTGGTGAAATGGTCATTATAGGCTAAATGGACTGCAGATATCAGTACGCCCCATAGCAGGTGTTGGTCAGTATGCCCCTGGACAGGTGTCTGAAAGAGCAGGACTGACCACACCACTGTCACATGATAATGGAGAACACAGGATTTATGGCCATTATGAAGAAAGACAGGTGGCTGTTAACAGCCGCTGGTTACTGCGCTGGATAATGTTAAATTCAGTTCACAAAAGAGCTAATTATATTTTAAGACCAAAAATTTTGTGTACTTAAATCAGAAGAAGTCCAATATGAAATATTGTCCCTGTTTTAAGGAATGAAAAAAAATCCAATATTTTAGTTCAGCATGTATTGTACTGAAGTACTACAGTTTTAACCTTAATTAACAGATTTAAAGTTATGATATTAAGGTTAAGACCAACTTCTCAAATTCATTTGTGAAACCCACCACCTCCAAAAAGGAATGGATAGATTATACTATTGAATGCATAGTTCACAAGTGAATATAATTTGTATTTCATTTTTTCCCTTTCTCTCATCTGTCTGCCCTAATGTGTGTCAGTTAATTCATTTGCATTTGAGAGAGATGCAAAAACCATTACCTGCATCACAATTCTCTCAATGTTTACCTCTATAAAAGTAATCTTTGAATTGTGCAGCCTTCAATGAAATAGAAGTTTTATGCAGGTGAGTTGTGACCAAGTCTGTCAAATTGGCAGATGAAACTGTCAACAGGTAATCAAATATGTGGATCTATCATAAATGAAAACTTTTTTAACTATCAAAAACTGAGATCCAATGAAATTATTTTCACATTGAAAATTTGATTTGGCACGAATCCCGGAAGGGACACCTTAAGTCTTCTTCCTCGGAGGAAGTAACAAGTCTATACTGTCAGAACAACAACCAACTGGAAGCCCACCTTTAGTGAAAGGGCAGGTGTTGGTTCAGAACTACACATCAAGAACCTGTTATACGAGTAAGTTACCTTTCAGTAATGAAGTAATGGTTATGACTGCCTTCAGGTCAGATAATAATACACATAATAATGATAAACAGGGATACTACTGTTGAAACAGCAAACATCAGGAAGCCTAACTGTCAGCCATTTTGGGAAGCCATTCATGTTTTATGGTGCCATTCCAATTAATTGAAGGGCATTGGAGAACAGGTCAAATTATCCACTCATATTTTTTCTAGTTGTTTTATACATAAGTTCAACATGCACATGCAATGCAGTCTATTGCACAACAGTACAAACTGACCCATGTCTTGAGTGTTCATTTTATAAATATTGCTTTGTATTCTAAGAAGACTTTTGTGGTGCATATATAAAGCTTCTTATAATTTTTAAAAAAAGTTACACCCAATTAACATACTAGTACGTGTTCTCACACATTTTCTAATATTAAATGGCACCATGTGGGCTTTACGAAAACTTTGATTTGTATTTGGATTTGAACCTGCATGGTTCTCAGTTGAAATAACTTTGAAAAATTCATTCTTGACATAATACGTTCTTTCATCTTTATAATGTATCTATGTCACCTCTAACATAAATTAGTAAGCAGCAACAATCCATATCATATAGAACTATTGAATATAATGATTATTTCTAGAGATTATACTAATAAGCATTTTAACAGTTTGTTTGTGGGGCAAGTACCATGGCATGTGACCATGCAAACAACAGATGCTCAAACCATTATCCAATTGCAATATATTGAGCATAACTTCTACGATGATCTCCATCTTTTCATTGAATATATGGGGTTGCGCTTACACTCATCTATTTAGCCAAATACTAAAACTGACTTAAATTGGCTAAAAATAGGCTTGATTTGACTTGTTTAGTCAAAATTTAACCATTGATTCAGAGAAAAAAGTGATGAAAATATAGTGATTTGGATAAGAAAAAAAATGCTAGCACTACTCAAAATAAAGTTATAATATATGTCTCTTCACCAAAATGATGCAAGTATTTGTTAGAAACATTAGCCACGTTTTTCTCGTTGGAAAACAAGTATGATTTTTCATTTAATTAGACTAAAATTCCACTTCTGATTGGATCATGAGTAGAAAAAAAGATATTATCTAAAGGTCTGGGCAATTTTGCTCTAAAGATCTTTTGTGATGCAGGGGCTGTACCTATATTCATTTGCTGTGATATATATTAATCAGCAGCTGAGGTCATGTCTGGCCAACAGTTCTTTCAAAAATACTCTAACTGGTCCCTAAAAAGTGCCTGGGTTATTTTCAAGTTTAATGTTTTGCCTTTGTTTTCCAAACCACTAATGTGAGTGTGTTTCCTGTTTTTGAATGTTCAGTAGCAGACACATTTTAAATGAACTGAAAATCACTGTAATGGTTTTTGCAGAAATTTATACATGAATATTTATTGTTCATTTTTTTTTTCCACACTACGTTATAAAACAGCAGAAGTACTGGGATAAGTCAGAATTTAGTGAAAGTTACACAAAATATTAGCATCACTGATTCAATGATTTGACTCAATTAATATCCCGTCACTGCTATTTTTGGATTGACCCTACAAAGACAATATGGTCTACTCTTTATTATTACCTTTTATTCCTTACTTTAGTTTGCAAACTTTAGATTGATATCCCAAAGAAAAGATTACAAAACAAACCTGGTCAGATCTGGTGCAATCAAGTACCACTTTAAGAATAGTGACTAACTGAAAATGGTATTCAGTGCATTTAAATTCTTCTTCCTACAGGTGTTATAAAAGTTGGTCCTAAAAGACAGATAAACACTTATCAACCAAACAGATGAAAGGCCCATGCATTAGAAACATGCTAAAGAATCTTTTTTTTTTCAGCAACACCTTCATGATTGATGCTGTTACATGTACAGTAATAGGTTTACTGTCTTTTTTCCACTGTCATGAATAAATAAACACATAGCACATAACTTCCCCCTTTCCCTAAACTTTCCCACAGCATTTTCACAAAATACCAGCAAGTCACTGCCTACTGTCATTTTTTCTGAATGAGGACAATTACTTTTTTCATGCAAGAATGCTATACACTTATATCATGTGGTGCATTTACAACTTAAGATTCATGACCTAACATCCTATTGTACTACAACCTGGGACATAAATATTTATCCCCCTTCCAAACGCCAGTTAAATTGAAGCCAGGTCATTAAAATGTTATAAATTTAGTCAGTACCTGGCCTCTGTTTCTGCTGCAGGCCAGTGGATTCCTATACCATTGTGGGTAGTAGGCTTTTAAGTTTTTGACAAACTGTTTTATGGTTATAATTTCTACCAGTAACCTCAGGACACCAGTGCAGTCCATATGGTGTTCCCGTCACTGCCATTTTTATCACCATGAATTAGAAAACACCACATCACTGGTACACAAACATGGTACAGAACACTGCCAAATATGTTCAAAGTTGCTCTATCAAAAAATATTTCTTTGCAGTGGATTTCGGGGGAAGGGGGGGGGGGCAATAAAGTGGCCCCCTTCCGCCTTAAAAATTTAAAATTATTCCCATATATTACATTAACAAAGTGTCTTGCAACAAATATAATAGGTAATATTTTTTATATCTTATGCATATAAACCATCTGCAGAGCATAAACTATGAATAATATAATAGATTATATTATTCATATTTTATGCATATAAACCATCTACAAAGGATCTCCCTTCAAAAGCTAGATAGATTTATGGGGCACATTTGATGTGATTAACTGATTATGAATATGAACTGGTACAATTAAGCTACCACAAGTCTATTGAACTCAAGAATTAACTAGCTCATGACGTACCTTTGAATATTGTTTTGAAGATTTTTACTGCAGGCACCATATGCAGGTTTCCATAAACTGTACGTGTGTGCTAGTGAACGATTGCATGTGCGAGGGGCAAATGTTCCTGTGCATTAGAGCAAGTGTTTCGGACATGCTGTACGTGTGTGTGTGTGTGTGTGTGTGTGTGTGTGTGTGTGTGTGTATGCAGGCCCACAGCCAACATTGTAAAAGGTGAGGGGTCGTTTTCTGAAAAAGTGGACCTTTTACCATGAAACTCTTTGTGTACTTAAATAAAATATTACCCAGAGCAGATCTTTTCCTGACAAAAAGGGTGGTTTGTTTGACACGTCCCCCTCCCCCCATACCCAAACAAAGGCCCACTTGTTTTTTTTTTTAAATCACATTTTGGACACCTTAAAAAATTCCTTGCTTGAAGGGGGGTGGTGGGGCAGAGTAAAGAAGGGGCATTGTCCTCAACTCTCCATTTGGTAATCGTCCAAGGTACACCATATGCCAACATGTGCATGGCTTAATGCATGATCATTTTCAATACAAAATGCAGTGCATAATAATATTGACATGCTGGACTTGAAAAAACACAACACACAACCACAACACGTTCTAAAATGACTTTAAAAAGGTTCACGGCAATGCACGCCAGTTATAGATCACTGTTTATACTATGGCAGATTCAGGTGGAGAAATTCACCTTTTAAGTCGCCTGTTTACTTTAAAAATGACTATACAAAACTGAGAATACTCGTGTAGGACTAGTTACGGCATTAAGTAAGCAAGAGGTCCAGATACGCTCCACTTACTGATCCTGACTTTTCCAAGACGCCCTTTGGGGTGACAAAAATCCCAGAGCCAATAATAGACCCTATGATGATCGTTACTCCATTTAAAAGGGTGATAGTCCTCTTTAACTGAACCTCTTCGCCTGTTTTGTGATCCTCCGTGGCCCCGCTGTCTTCAGGCTGCTTCTGCTTGTCTGACATGCTTGATAATAACTCGGTGACAATAGAATGAGCAAACGTACAAGGCCGAATACCGCGTGTCACAAAGATGTAAACAAACCGACTGTCGGTTAAATTCCCGACGCGACAGCACTTGCGAGTGGCACGGTTTTAAGAACCAGGTAAATGCTCGATGACTGGAGTTCAGTAGGCAATACGAGCACGTCAGCCCTGCTGGCGTGAAATAATAAAATGTGAAATTCTTGCTTCATGTTCACCAGCCTCATTGTCATGCTGTGTGTGTGTGTAACTGGGACGAGTCTATTGAAAAGGACACAAATCTGACGTAATACATAAAATGCACAGTGATATTCCTAATATTTTAGTAGTATTGTTTTCGTTAAAATATATGAGATATTATACATATGACTTTTGTTGATTAAAACACACTTATTGAATTTTTAGACAAAAAAGTGACGATGTTGAAAACCTTTCACCCCTCCAAAATAGCTGTCCGAGAAATATCAACAAGGCCGACTGTTTCTTCTTCCGGGTCATCAGTTGAGGTCAATGGGTGCAAGTGCAAACATAAACACGTGGATATAAAGTTCACGTTCACTTCCAAATCGTTAACATGGGGCTTTGTTATTGCCGCTTAAAGATATTTGGGGAATTGTCAGGAATTATGGTCGGGGAATGCTCCCTGTTTTAAAATGCCTTCTGTATTTTTTTTTTTTTTTTGCGATGTCGTTACGCCTTGCCCACACGCTTTTTCTATATATAGCCCATATCGTTTTTGAATTTCACTTTTTTCTTCGTTAATTCATAACAATCTTCTTAGGATGAGCCTCGGTGTGCGTCCTTGATTATGACTTTTTTATTATGCTCTGTTTGTTATTATTATTATTTTCATTTTCATTTTACAAAATATGCTGATGATTTATATTCTGAAGGTACAAGTGGTTTTCCTCACAGTGGCAATCAATCTCAGGTCTCAGATTTATATTGCCCCCCCCCCCCCCCCAACCCCCACCACAGGGCGGGAGAGCGATTTCTCTCGTTTCAAAGAGTTTTAGAATGCTGTGGTACGTACAAGTTGATCTGGAATGCAGTAGTTGTGCCATGAAAAGCTATGCTGTGCAAAACTGTGGTAGAGAAAAGCAACCTCTAGCAATCACAAGAAAGTTTGGAAGGGATAAGTAAAGTAAAATTAGTGATCGAAATATATCCCACTGTTTTTGTAATTGGACTCTTCGGGTTCAAAATATGAACGTTTCTTTAAATAAGGCGTTTAAATATCAAAATGATGCCGGCCATAGGCCTGTTAGGCTATGTTATTTTTGTTATAAATAAAACATTTAATTTGTTTGAAAATTTTTAAAAAAAAATAATAACACACTAATTGAACCTCATTTATGAATCAGGATACATCCCAGATCTCAGGAAACCAGTCTTGGTAGCACCAAAAAAGCCAGCAGCCAGAATGTGATCTTCTTAGAACAATTAGTTTACCGAGCCACGTCATAAGAATCTTGTTTAAGAGAACGCTCATAATGAGAACAAGAAAGAATATACAGTCAGAGATAGCTGGAGAACAGTGCTCAAGGATTCATGGAGGATAAAAGAACAGCAAGCGCTACATATATGCTTAAATCATTCACGGAAAGAGCAATCGAAGTGCAACAAGATTTATATCCATGGTTTATTGATTACTTCAAAGCATTTGACACCTTGAAACAGAAAGAAATTATAAGAATGCTCAGAGAAATCAATCTTGACGCTAAAGACACACAGCTTATCAAAAACTTGCACTAGAAACAGACAGCAGCAGTAAGAATCGGCAAAGAAACTGGCCTTTTTGTTTAAGATCCAAAAAGGGGTAAACCAAGGATGCATAATTCCAACAGACTTATTCTCGTTATATAGCGGGAACTTTTTAACACACACTGAAAAACAGCCGGAAATAAAGATAGGAGGACATTATGCAAAACAAACAGGAGTTATGACAGCCCCCCCCTTNCGTACCTTTGAATATTGTTTTGAAGATTTTTACTGCAGGCACCATATGCAGGTTTCCATAAACTGTACGTGTGTGCTAGTGAACGATTGCATGTGCGAGGGGCAAATGTTCCTGTGCATAAGAGCAAGTGTTTCGGACATGCTGTACGTGTGTGTGTGTGTGTGTATGCAGGCCCACAGCCAACATTGTAAAAGGTGAGGGGTCGTTTTCTGAAAAAGTGGACCTTTTACCATGAAACTCTTTGTGTACTTAAATAAAATATTACCCAGAGCAGATCTTTTCCTGACAAAAAGGGTGGTTTGTTTGACACGTCCCCCTCCCCCCATACCCAAACACAGGCCCACTTGTTTTTTTTAAATCACATTTTGGGCACCTTGAAAAATTCCTTGCTTGAAGGGGGGTGGTGGGGCAGAGTAAAGAAGGGGCATTGTCCTCAACTCTCCATTTGGTAATCGTCCAAGGTACACCATATGCCAACATGTGCATGGCTTAATGCATGATCATTTTCAATACAAAATGCAGTGCATAATAATATTGACATGCTGGACTTGAAAAAACACAACACACAACCACAACACGTTCTAAAATGACTTTAAAAAGGTTCACGGCAATGCATGCCAGTTATAGATCACTGTTTATACTATGGCAGATTCAGGTGGAGAATGTCACCTTTTAAGTTGCCTGTTTACTTTAAAAATGACTATACAAAACTGAGAACACTCGAGTAGGACTAGTTACGGCATTAAGTAAGCAAGAGGTCCAGATACGCTCCACTTACTGATCCTGACTTTTCCAAGACGCCCTTTGGGGTGACAAAAATCCCAGAGCCAATAATAGACCCTATGATGATCGTTACTCCATTTAAAAGGGTGATAGTCCTCTTTAACTGAACCTCTTCGCCTGTTTTGTGATCCTCCGTGGCCGCGCCGTCTTCAGGCTGCTTCTGTTTGTCTGACATGCTTGATAATAACTCAGTGACAATAGAATGAGCAAACGTACAAGGCCGAATACCGCGTGTCACAAAGATGTAAACAAACCGACTGTCGGTTAAATTCCCGACGCGACAGCACTTGCGAGTGGCACGGTTTTAAGAACCAGGTAAATGCTCGATGACTGGAGTTCAGTAGGCAATACGAGCACGTCAGCCCTGCTGGCGTGAAATAATAAAATGTGAAATTCTTGCTTCATGTTCACCAGCCTCATTGTCATGCTGTGCGTGTGTGTAACTGGGACGAGTCTATTGAAAAGGACACAAATCTGACGTAATACATAAAATGCACAGTGATATTCCTAATATTTTAGTAGTATTGTTTTCGTTAAAATATATGAGATATTATACATATGACTTTTGTTGATTAAAACACACTTATTAAATTTTTGGACAAAAAAGTGACGATGTTGAAAACCTTTCACCCCTCCAAAATAGCTGTCCGAGAAATATCAACAAGGCTTCTTCTTCCGGGTCATCAGTTGAGGTCAATGGGTGCAAGTGCAAAACATAAACACGTGGATATAACGTTCACGTTCACTTCCAAATCGTTTACATGGGGCTTTGTTATTGCCGCTTAAAGATATTTGGGGAATTGTCAGGAATTATGGTCGGGGAATGCTCCTCAATGTTTATTGTTCTTTCATAATATCCATGTTTTAAAATGCCTTCTGTAATTTTTTTTCTTTTTGCGATGTCGTTACGCCTTGCTCACACGCTTTTTCTATAGGCCTATATAGCCCATATCGTTTTTGAATTTCACTTTATTCTTCGTTAATTCATAACAATCTTCTTTAGGATAGGCCTCAGTGTGCGTCCTTGATTATGACTTTTTTTATTATGCTCTGTTTGTTATTTTTATTACTAATTTCATTTTACAAAATATGCTGATGATTTATATTCTGAAGGTAGGCCTACAAGTGGTTTTCCTCACAGTGGCAATTAATCTCAAGTCTTAGATTTATATTGCCCCCTCCCCCCCCCCCCCACCCCCACCACAGGGCGGGAGAGCGATTTCTCTCGTTTCAAAGAGTTTTAGAATGCTGTGGTACGTAGTTGATCTGGAATGCAGTAGTTGTGCCATGAAAAGCTATGCTGTGCAAAACTGTGGTTGAGAAAAGCAACCTCTAGCAATCACAAGAAAGTTTGGAAAGGATAAGTAAAGTAAAATTAGTGATCGAAATATATCCCACTATTTTTGTAATTGGACTCTTCGGGTTCAAAATATGAACGTTTCTTTAAATAAGGCGTTTAAATATCAAAATGATGCCGGCCATAGGCCTGTTAGGCATATGTTGTGTTTGTTATAAATAAAACATTTAATTTGTTTGAAAAAATTTTTTAAAGAATAATAATAATAACACACTAACTGAACCGCATTTATGGATCAGGATACATCCCAGATCTCAGCAAGCCAGTCTTGGCAGCACTCCCAAAAAAGCCAGCAGCCAGAATGTGATCTTCTTAGAACAATTAGTTTACCGAGCCACGTCATAAGACTCTTGTTTTAAGAGAACGCTCATGATGAGAACAAGAAAGAATATACAGTCAGAGATAGCTGGAGAACAGTCAGGATTCATGGAGAATAAAAGAACAACAAGAGCTACATATATGCTTAAATCATTCACGGAAAGAGCAATCGAAGTGCAACAAGATTTATATCCATGGTTTATTGATCACTTCAAAGCATTTGACACCTTGAAACAGAAAGAAATTATAAGAATGCTCAGAGAAATCAATCTTGACGCCAAAGACACACAGCTTATCAAAAACTTGCACTAGAAACAGACAGCAGCAGTAAGAATCGGCAAAGAAACTGGCCCTTTTGTTAAGATATGTCAAAAACGGGGTAGACCAAGGATGCATGGTACCAACAGACTTATTCTCGTTATATAGCGGGAACTTTTTGAGACACACTGAAAAACAGCTGGAAATAAAGATAGGAGGACATGATGCAAAACAAACAGGAGTTATGACAGCCCCCCCCCCCCCCCCCCCTCCTCCCCTCCCCCCCCCCCCCCCCCCCCCCCCCACCCCCACACCAATGGTGTTCACTACAGCTTTTCTTGCACCTTCGTCTGATACTAACGCCCAACGAATGCAATGCCCATATGAATCACTCAGCCATTGAAACATTGTGTCTATTACA